CGCCTCCTCTTCTTTGGACGCCCGAAATGGGTACGGAAAGAATGGGTACAGTGCCCAACAACAAGTGTCGTCCCAAACCAACAGCGGCCGCTGTTGGGCAGGCGGCCTTCTGTCTCGAATGGACACAAGCCGCGGCGGCGTGGACAGCGAGTCCTGTTCAAAATGAACCCGATCCGCTGTCTGGCATTGTACCCATTCTTTCAGAGCCCATTTCGTTCGTGCAGATCTTCACTCCCCCCCCTGGGGGTTTAATCTGGCCTAATCCAACTTATAGGTGGGTTACAAGTGCCCTATGTGGCTTGGGATGATGAGGTAACTCCGCGAAGTGGGCTCCGCCCACTTAGCCCAGATCTGTGCGCCCGTAAGCCACTTAGGGCACGTGCAACGCACTTTGGCTTGAGAAAACCCGTTGTAGCATCCACTTCTGACCCGCCCATCCCCTTAGCAAGTACCGCGGCGATGCAAGTGGCCTTTCTGCCGCCTCCTCTTCACTCCCCCCCCCCAAACATCCGACGTCTCGATTTTTTCGAGACGTGGGCCCCCGACCTCCCGACCACTTCCCCAGGACCGGTTTTTCATCCCGAGTCGTTTTCTGACGGTCCCGAGGCACGGCGAGGGCCCCGAGAGGCCGAAAAAGACGAAAAACCTCCGTCTCGATTTTTTCGAGACGCCCGATGTGTGGGCCCCCCTCCCGGCGCCGGCATCCCGCCCTCCCCGCCATCTGCTCCCCGTGCCCCCCCGCCCCCGGGCCTGCCTGGGCCGGGCAGCGGCCACATGCGCTCCGGCGCCCGTGTGCCAGGCTCCCGGACCCCCGACGCCGTGCATGTTTCTCACGCGGCTGCACGCCAGGAGTGACCCCAAAAGCATGCCCGAAAATGGTCCACAGATGCTCAGAGCATCCTCCCCTGACTTGTTTTTTTTTGTTGTTGCTATGCTTGAGTTTTCCTCCCGCAGAGGGGACAGGCCTGACTTAGCACTACTTTTGACCCCGAAGCTTGCACTTCCCGCCGGTTGCGCTGATCGGCTACACGCAAGAGTGACCCTGGGTAAGAGTGACCTTGGGTGTGCGGCTTTTTTCCGCGCCGCGGTGGGGCCAAATCCAATCGCGAAAGACGCTACTATCGCATCGCGTCTGGCGATCGGGGGGCCCCACTGTGCCCGCACCAAAGGTCACTCCGGCGAAAAGTCACTCTTACGTCCAATCGATTCATGACGTCGACCCCAGAGGTCTGGATCCCTTCCCCGGGACCGGTTTTTCGTCCTGGGTCGTTATTTGACGGTCCCGAGGCCCAGCGAGGGCCCCCAGAGGCCGAAAATAGCGAGAAACCCTCCGTTGTGATTTTTCCATGGCTCGAGGGGGTCTGGGATTTGGGGTCGAAGCTGGCTTCAAGGAGCAGGCCTCTTCCTCCCAGCGCGCTGCCATGCCAGCCTGCCGCTCCAAGAGCGACCAGGGCCGTAGGCCGGGCCATGGGCAGGAACCCGGGCCGGCCGAAGAGCTATAGCCAGGGGGAGGAGGAGGGGGGAGGAGGGGGAGGGGGAGGAGGAGGAGGAGGAGGAGGAGGAGGAGGAGGAGGAGGAGGAGGAGGAGGAGGAGGAGGGAGGAGGAGGAGGAGGAGGAGGAGAGGAGGAGGAGGAGGTGGAGGAGGGGAGGAGGAGAGGAGGGAGGAGGAGGAGGAGGAGGGGGAGGAGGGGGGGGGGGGGCGGACACGACCGGACAGCCTGCCTGGACGGAACGGCGGCCATCGGACATCGGGCGTCTCGAGCCAAAACCGAGGTTTTTGTCGTTTTCGGTGTCTCGGGGCCCTCGCCGGGCTTCGGAACCGTCGAAAAGCCGACTCGGGGTGAAAAGCCGGTCCCGGGGAAGTGGTCGGGTCGGGGACCGGGACCGGTGTCTCGAATTACAGGCGGCCGCTTCGCTCTACAGGCGGATTTTGGCAGCACAAAAACACATCCCAAACATTTTAAACAAAATGCGCAAAACATTCGCCCCTTTTTTTATCTTTTTGTGTGCTTTTTTGAATGCTCCTCCTGTAGAGGGACACGCCCGACGGAAGTCTCGAAACAAACGTGACGCCAAATGTTCGGACAAGCCGCCCGGCCTGCCAGGACCAGCCGGCCGGACCGGATCGGCCGGGCGGCCTGGGCAGGCAGGCCAGCCGGCCGCCCAGACGTCCGACGTCTCGATTTGTTCGAGACGTGGGCCCCCGATCTCCCGACCACTTCCCCAGGGCCGGTCCTCCTCCTCCTCCTCCTCCTCATCCTCCTCCCTCCTCCCTCCTCCTCCTCCCTCCTCCTCCTCCTCCCCTCCCCTTCCTCCTCCTCTCTCCTCCCCTCCCCTTCCTCTCCTTCATCCTCCTTCCCCTCCTCCTCCTCCTCCCCATCCTCCCTCCCCTCCTCCTCCTCCCCTCCTCCCTCCACTCCTCCTACTCCTCCTCCTCCTCCTCCTCCTCCTCCTCCCTCCTCCTCCTCGTTCGCCCCGGCTCGTTTTTTGACGGCCCCGAGGCCCGGCGAGGGCCTCCAGAGGCCGACGACGACGAACAACCTCCGTCTCGATGTTTTCGAGATGCCCCATGTCCCCAGACCCCCTCGAAAAATGAAAAAATCATTACGTCGGGGGTCTGGGTCTGTGGACTGGGCCAGGCGTCGTGTCCAACCGGAGCGACCGAACGGCGGACACGACTGGAGAGGAGGGGGGGGGAACTGCGGCGCGGCGGTGGGTGTGCGGTAGTTATGGTGGCGGTGGGTGTGCGCGCGGGGAGGTGGCCCCGAGCGCGGGCCCCGGCTGCTCCGGGGTGGGGGAGCTGAGGCCCGCCTCGGCGTGTCCTCTGCCTCCTGCTTCCCCTCCCAGACATGATCGCGTCGTAAAAAAAAAAAAACAGGACGGGCGGTGTTTCGCTACTTTCGGTCTCGGGGGGCCCTCGCCAGGCCTCGGGACCGCCGAAAAACGACTCAGGATGAACAGCAGGCCCCTGGGAAAGGGTCGGGACTTCCCAGGACGCCGTACTGAAAACATCAGGACGTCGCATGTCTGGGTCTTCCTCCTGCTTCTCCTCCTGAGGGGGTGGAAGCTGAGGGATTCAAGAAGAAGACCTCCTCCCCATTCCCAGCGACAGCGCGACCGTCAACCATGCGCGGCCGCCAAAGAACTTGATCTCGTCGATGTACGCTTTCAGAATATCGCGATCGACCTCGGGCCGACAACGTCGAAGAACGATGAGGATGTTGATGGCACGGGTGAGGACGAGCAACCCACATCTTTAGCGCTCGGCTGCAGCAATTTGGAGGTGGCAGCGTCAAGCGGATAGTCCCAGCAATTTCTGGAGAAGCCAGGAAGACATGATCAACAATCTAGCTGGCACGGAGGCGACGCTCCCCCCCATGCCCACACATCCGACGTTCCGATTTTTTCGAGACACGGGCCCCCGACCGATCCCGATCACTTCCCCAGGACCGGCAAGGGCCCCGTGAGGCCGAAAACGACGAACCTCCGCCTCGACTGTTCCGAGACGCCCGATGTCTGGGTTCTGCTTGAACCCTAAAGCCCTAAAAGTGTAGCCATCTCTTGGAGGATGAGGAGGAGGGGGAAGAGGAGGAGGAGGTGGAGGAGTAGAACGGAGGGAGATGAGGAGGAGGACGAGGAGGAGGAGGAGGAGGAGGATAAGGAGGAGGAGGTGGAGGAGTAGAACGGAGGGAGATGAGGAGGAGGAGGAGGAGGGAGGAGGAGGAGGAGGAGGATAGGAGGAGGAGGAGAGGAGGAGGAGGGAAGGAGGAGAGAGGAGGAGGAGTGAGGAGGAGGAGGGAGGAGGAGGAGGAGGAGGAGGAGGAGGAGGAGGACGAGAGGAGGAGGAGGAGGAGGAGGAGGAGGAGGAGGGAGGAGGAGGGGAGGAAGAAGAGGAGGAGGACGACGGGAGGACGAGGAGTAGGAGGAGGAGGAGGAGGAGGAGGAGGAGGAGGAGGAGGAGGAGGAGGAGGAGGAGGAGGAGGAGGAGGAGGAGGAGGAGGAGGAGGACGAGGAGGAGGAGGAGGAGGAGGAGGGGGAAGAGGAGCGACAACTGGCATCTCCGCTCGGAGGCCGCGCCGCCCGCGACTGCTCGATGGGCGGGAGCGCCTGGGAGCGCCTGGGAGCGTGCTGGGAGCGCCTGGAAGCGCTTGGGAGCGCCTGGGAGCGCCTGGGATCGCCTGCGAGCACTTGGGAGCGCCTGGGAGCGTGCCGGAGCGCCTGGGAGCGCCTGGGAGCGCCTGGGAGCGCCCGGGAGCGCCTGGGAGCCTGCGAGCGTCTGGGAGCGCTGGGAGCGCCTGGGAGCGCCAGGGATCGCCTGGGGGCGCTCGGAGCGCCCATTTGGGAATTTGGGGGCCGGCGGCCCTGGACCCTGGAGGGCTTCAGTTTGGGAGGTCGCCGGCTGGAGGAACAGCCGTGGAGGGACCCCAGGAACATCGACGTCGAGCCCCTTCCGACCCCAAACTCTTCCTCATTCCAGCGTCTTGGCTGTACCCATCGGTCGGAAGAAGTAGGTCCAAACATGAGGCAGGAAGGCGTTGAAAGCATATTGGGTCCCATCCGGCCCCCAAAGGAGGACGGACAAGGGGAAGCCACTCGATCATGTAAGCAGGAAGGCGCTCAAAGTAGATTGGAACCTGGGAATCCAAGAACACCCACTTTCAAGGACCCATGGCTACCCCCTCCCGCAGGCGCACGCGCGACTCCGAGCCTGACTGACGAGAGGCGCCCCGGCCAGGAGTCGGCGGCTTGCGGTTCGGGGGGGGGGCAAAGGCGGGAATAGAGCCGAGGTGGGGTCGAAGGAAAATCGATCCAAACGGCCTCTGGAACCTAAGAGATCTGAGAGTTTCTCTCCCCTTTCTGCTCCCTCCTCCCCTTCCTCCCCTTCCCCCCCCCTCCCCTTTCCTCCCCCCCTCCCCCCTTCCTCCCCCCCCAGTAACCATTTCGCTCAAGCTCTTGCTTGTTCCGTTACTTTCTCAGCGCCCCTGCGCTCTCTCGGGCCATGGTGGTCCACGCGCGCCTTCGCTGGCTGCGCGATCAGGTCGTCGCTGGAGTCGCCGCGCACCTCACCTTCGGCGCCGCCGCCATCGAGGGCCGCGGGAAGGTCAAGGTGGTCCTCGACCCCGCGCGGCCGCGCACGTCGCCCACGGCGCGGGCCGTGCTTCTCAGCGCCCTGACGTCCCTCGAGGAGCAGGCTGGTAACGCTGTCGTGGTGGACCGCGGCCACCGCTTCTCCGACGGCCGCACGGAGGTCTGCTTCTGGCTCAGCGCTCGCCCCGCGGCTAGCCAGTCACGGGCCCGCAGCCGTCCGGCGCAGGCTGGATTTCATGCTGCTCGTGTCGATGGCCATGCCGATGTCCGTCTTCCTGGTGCTGGTGCAGTACATGCTGCTGGTGTCGTCGGCCATGCCGATGCCCGCGCTGGTTCAGTTCAGGCTGCTGGTGTCGACGGCCATGCCGATGCTCGCCTTTCTGGAGTTCATGCTGCTCGTGTCGACGGCCATGCCTATGCTCGCCTTCCGGGTGCTGGTGCAGTACATGCTGCTGGTGTCGACGGCCATGCCGATGCCCGCGCTGGTTCAGTTCATGCTGCCGGTGTCGACGGCCATGCAGAGGCTCGCCTTCTTGGAGTTAATGCTACTGCCCCGGCCGTCGCTGGTCTCCCCGGAGGTGGCGATTCTCCGGTTGGCCGTGTGCCTGGCGCCGCCGCGCATCCTGGTGTCGTGGCTCCCGCGGGGCCCCTGCGTGGAGTATCTGCCCCAGATGCGGTGGAGGCGGCTTCGGAGCCAGCAGCGCGGCCTGACGCTGGAGTCCCTGTGCCTGTACCTGTCTTTCCTTCAGTGACCGCGCCAGCAGCCCATTGCCATGCAGTGCCTGAGCAGCCAGTGCCAGTATCCGCCAGTATCCGGCAGAGTGTCAGAGCGTTTTTAGCCAGGACAGAGGCGGAAACTCACGAGTGTTTGGCCAGGGCCAGAGCGTTATCAGCCAGTGCCAGTGCCAATGCCGCGTCTAGCGACGCGCCTTGAGGCCACCGTCTAGCCCAGCAGCTCCGCTCCGCTCCATCTCCTCCACCTCCCGAGCTCCGTCAGTTTCCCGCCGAAGACGGAAAACGGAGCAGGCAAGGCAGCACTCAGGCAGGCGATGCAGCACTCAATTCGACGGCACGTAAGGCAGCTCTCTTTTCGACGGCCGATAATGCAGCACTCTCTGGCACTGGCTTTTTTCGACGGTAGATAAGGCAGCACACTTTTCGACGGCAGATAAGCCAGCAAGCAGCCCCAGCTTTTTTCACCCCAGCGCGGCCTCTTGGGGAACCACCTTGCTCCCAGCTCCTCCCTCTCCTCAACATCAGCCTTTTCCTCCTCATGCATCTCCTCGATCCTCTTTTTTGCCCCTTGGCACTCCCTCCTCCTGGTCCTTTCCTCGCGCATTACGTATTACGTGCCGTGCAGTACGCTCCATGTCCAGGATCATTCGCACACCAGGCCGAGGGACCACACCACATTCGGCGTCAGGATTTTTGGACAGCGACCGTAGACAGCTTTCAGCAGCCCTGTGGCTTCCGACTCGGCGCAGTGCGCATGCACCTGTCACGCACTGTCTCAGCGGCACTCCGCCTCAAGTTTGCAGGTCTCGGCGAAGCCGCAGGCGCTACCAGCCATCTTCCGCAGAGTGGCCCTACAGACAATGCCATGACAGTTTACTCGATTCCTCCCTCTTCCTCGGCACGGCCGGCCAGACAATGCTAGCAACGCATTTTTCAATGCAATGTTATGTCATACGTTGCACCGTCTTGGCATATAGCTGGTCTCCATGCGGCCGTCTTCGGCGCAAATGGCCTTTTCCGCCCACGGCAGCTCCTTGGCAGAGCATCCTCCGGGGAACCCCCCCTCCCTCCTGCCGAGTATCTCCCGGCTAATGCTGCCCGTCAGAGGTGCGCAACTGCTGCGGACAGCTACCTCGCCTTAGTGCTTCTTGGCTGTGCAAGATACTCCTTCACCCCCCCTAGAGTTCCTCCCTCCTCCTCTTACCACGTGTCGGCGAATCCCGCTAACACTAAGAAGCCAAGTACAGCACAGGCATTATCTTACCTGCCCCCCTTACCGGTCACGTGCGTTTCCGATGGGGCTTCCTAGGTCTCTAGGCGGCAATGCCAGCCTCTCCCTCCTGGTCCGCTCCGACACTGCCGCCCTACAGCGCGGCACTGCCATTTTGGCTCTCTTCCTACTCATCCCGCTCATATCCATGGCTAAGCCATGCTCCCAGGTGGCCGTTCCTGAGGCCAGCTGTGCTGCTCTTCGGTCTTTCAGCGCTGCCCGCATAGGGCAACGCCTAGCTGGCGCGCTTAGTGACTCTCGCACGGCACCGATCCCTTCTCTTCCTCATATTTTCCCCCTCCCTCCCCTTCGGTGCCAATACCTCCCCCGCCCAACATGCAGGTCCAATGGCGAAGAATCGCTTTTGCTTGCGGACGGACCAGGAGCGGAGATCCTTTGTAGTGCCCGCTAGGCGGGCTCTGTCTGCCGCCTAGCCGACCTGCGGCCGCCCCGCTCAAGCTACTTGCAACGAGCTAAGTGCAGTCAAAAAGTCCTCCCCCCCCTCCCCCTTCCTCACCCCCCTTCCCCCCTCCCCCTTCCTACCCCCCCCTCCCCCGCTCCTGCCCGCCCGAGCAGCAATCCATGCATGACGATCGCACAGATGCCTGGGTGCCGGAGGCACGGGCCAATATTTCCCCCCCCGAGATCTGGATTGGCACGGCCTTCGGGGCGATCGGGAGTAGCGTAGCGCAGCGGCCTCTGGAATAAAGAACTGTGATAGAGGCCTCCTAGATGGGGTCCGGGTAGATGGGGTCGAGGGATCGCGCCGCATCGCCGATACATCGGCGATGCATCACCGATGCATCAGCGACGTCGGCGATGCATCGGCGCGGAATCGTGTGAGCATCCAGCTGGCTGAGGAGGAGGATGAGGAGGGGGAGGAGGAGGAGGAGGAGGAGGAGGAGGAGGAGGAGGAGGAGAAGGAGCAGGAGGAAGAGGAGGAAGAGGAGGAGGAGGAGAAGGAGCAGGAGGAAGAGGAGGAGGAGGAGGAGGAGGAGGAGGAGGAGGAGGATAAGGAGGAGAGGGAGGAGGAGGAGGAGGAGGAGGAGGAGGAAAAGGAGGAGGAGAAGGAGGAGGCGGAGGAGGAGGAGGACGCACCAACCTTGGGCTATACGGATCCAACCTTGGGATAACCCATCCTCTTCGAGCCGCTGAAAGGCTCGACCAGAGGCCAAGACAGATGAGGTCCCTTCCGGGCGCCACCGAGCCGCAGCCGTCTCGTGAGGATCGTCATGCGGCGACGGGCGAGGGGAGAAGTGAGAAGGAGAAGGCCTTCTCAGAGGGCGGCGGGGCTTCTCGGAAACCTCTGCGCCCTCTGACCACTTCTCTTGCATCCAGGGAGTTCTTAGAAAACTCCTCAGAAGGCTGGGGGGCTTCCGCGCCTTCTGAGAAGGCCCGCCTCTTCTCACCTCCCCCTCGCTCGCCGCCGAGGCTCGGGGGGGGAAGCGTCGACCTGGAATCGGCGACGCATCGCCGATCGATCGGCGGTAGGCCTCCGATTGCGACTCCGCACGCTCCCGGGAGGGGTGGGATATCGGGCCCCTACTGGCGGCGAGTGGGCGATTTGGGGTTGATGCGTCCCCCCTGGAGCCGTTCCCTCCTTAACGCTGCCCACGATGTCTCAGAAAGGCCGCGCCCAAACGCGGTGCGCTCTGTGACTAATTACCTACCAGACCGCACCAGCCTAACCCGAGGATCCCAATTTCGGGTTGAGGGGGAGGGGGTACGGGTTCCGTATGTGTTTTTCCATTGTTCCCCGACCTCCCGCCCACTGGAAGTGGAGGGCAAGTTGAGCCTTCGGGTTGGGTTGGGGTGGTTTGGTGGGTGGTGACTCTGGCACCCTCCACAGCCTCCAGAAGGCTCCAAGTCGCCCCACGCCGCTCGACGGCGGCTGCAAGATGCCCCACGGCAGGTCTTGAGTCAAGACCTGCCAACGACTCGCCAGAAGCCTCAGGATGTACCCCAGAGGCCCTGAGAGGCCTTGAAGCCCCCAAGAGGCGCCGAACGAGCTCCCCGGCAAGGTGCGAGGATTCCGAAAACGATGAAAGCCCACTAAGGATGCAACATGTGTTTCTTTTCGCGCGCGTTGCGCAACGTGGCACCATGACGGCCTGCAAGAGCCCGAGGACGGGCCCATAGTTCCCCAAGAAGCCCCAAGGGTGGCCCAAGGCGGCCCAAAGAGAGCCCCAATGCAGCCCTAGCACCGGCCCCCAAGAGGCCCTCCAGATGCTCCCGAGAGGCCTTCGGTAGGGCCCCAGGAGTCCCCAAGACTTTGCCAGGGAACCTCCAAGAGGCAACGCGGCCACCGTGCAACGTCACGGTCACGCCACGCCGCAAGTAACGCGGAGTGGTTTTACGGGGCCTCTTCGAGAGAGCTCGGTAGAACCATACTGTGTGTGTTTCGATGATGCGCTGGCACGGTGGCGGGGGTTTGCCGCGGGCAGCTGAATAAACCGTACGTGTGCCGACGCACTCCACCCCCACACAAGCCACTCTAAGAGATCTCTCCACGGGGGAGGTGCGGGTTCAACTCAGCTGCTGAAGCGGAGGAGGAGAGGAGCGAAGAGGAAGAGAAGGAGAGACGAGATGGAGGACTATTGGCGGCACTATTGTGTCAACCACCGACCTTGTCTGTGGACGCGGAAAATCACAGTCTCGCACACGGCAGCGACCTAAACGAGTCTGACTATGTACAAAGTCGGAGGCAGGACTACACTCAACATCGAATCGAGAAGTCGGAACGTGTCGGATTTTGCGTCGGATATGCCTGCTTACATCTGCACACAAACGGAACCGATAAAAAAACACACAGTCAGAAAACAAATCGGATCGGCCGCGCCAGAACGCACAACAACGCCATGGAATCATCGGGCCACATCGGCTCGTCAGAATGCGGGAATCGATCACAAGATCAAGCGGGCCAGAATATCGAACAGGATCGATCGGATCGGAAGTGTCCCTGGGAGCCGGAGGGATGAGGGTACGAGGATGGAAGGAGAAGGGAGGCGGAGGTGGAAAGGAGGAGGAAGGGGAGGAGGAAGGAGGAGGGAGGAGGGAGGAGGGAGGGGGGAGGAGGAGGAGGAGGAAACGGAGGAGGAGGAGGAGGAGGAGGGGGAGGAGCAGGAGTAGGAGTAGGAGTAGGAGTCAAGCTAGCCAGCTCGAGCGAGTCAAGCATGGCATGCCCAGTCCCACCCGCCCTCCCACAACATAAGAAGCAAAGCTGGCACAACTGGGGGCCGAAGTCACACCGGCCAGCCGGTTTGGTACAGCTGATGCGGCCGCGATGGCGGTTGCCGACGGGAACTGGCGAGCGCGTGTTGAATGCCGCGCACGCATTGCCAGACGAGTCGAGAATGGCCCGGTACACCGCAGGAAGCCAGAGGTGGCCGGAGGAAGCCCGACGGTCTGACAGGACACCCCAAAGCATTTTTGTGAAAAAGCATTGGGTTTTTGATGTTTTTATGTTGAAATGCTTGCAAAAACACGGTATTCGGTAGGATTCTGACATGAACGCGCGAGTGTGCTCTTTGTAATATTTTTTGCACAGGATTCGCGGCCTGGGTGCATGACAGAGCATCGCGAGTGCACCGCGCGATGACGTGAAATCGCTGGATTTGACCGAATTCTTAAGATTCCTATGGTTTTCCTATGATTTCAGCAAGAGAGCCCGGGCGGGAAATTTGTACATTTTTTTTGTGAAAAAGCATTGGGTTTTTGATGTTTTTATGTTGAAATGCTTGCAAACACACGGTGTTCGGTTGGATTCTGACATGAACGCGCGCGTGTGCTCTTTGTGGTATTTTTTGCAATGGATTATCGCCGTGGACGACAGGACGTCCATGTCGAGAGGAAAAAATAAGAAAAATGTTGATTTTGTATTGTTTTTTACAGGTTAGGATGGGACCACCCGGATGCGCCCGCTATCTGCCGGCCTGAGGGGGGAGTAGGAGTATATTCTAATAAGGATAAGGATAGGAGGAGGAGGAGTAGGAGTAGGAGTAGGAGTAGGAGTAGGAGTAAGAGGAGGAGGAGGAGGAGGAGGAGGAGGAGGAGGAGGAGGAGGAGGAGGAGGAGGAGGAGGAGGAGGAGGAGGAGGAGTGAGAGGAGGAGGAGGAGGAGGAGGCGTTTGGCCGAGGCACCAGGGAGGGACGCGGCCCCACCGCCCTGGCCGGGCAGCGCCCAGCGCGGCGCCATACGCCCGCGAGAAAGAGGTACAGGTCTCTGTACTTCTTCACTCTGACCTCGCTGTACCTGATTTACAAGACTCTGAGCATCAAGTACCCCTTGTACTTGATCATCCTTACCGAGCTTTACAATAACACCCGGGACAACTTAAACGCAGATACACCTTCAAGGTTTGGTCAGGCCCTGGAGTGGCCTGTTACTACTCAGGTATGGCACCAAGATGAATCAGCTACGAGATTACCAGTTCCATCCGAGACTTCCCCGTGTTCCTCGAGACCACGGATAACACAATCTTGAGGCAGCTGCCTACAGCAGGCTGGCCTACGCGGCCCGCAAGGGCAACTCCACAGCGAAGGACCTGGTCATCCTCATACGACAATGTTGCAGCACGAGTGGGGTGGACGCCAGCAGGAAGTTCAAGTTCGACAGGTACTGTGCCGAGTTCGTACCAGTCAACTTTCCCGATACTCGTTGTTACGACGACAGCGCGGATTACGGTACCATTCAGCACGACCTCGGGCAATCCAGCCTTGTGCTCCCCCCGATGCTGCCCGCCACGGACTACCAGCAGCGCTACGACGGCCACCAGCAGGGCTACGACGGCCACCAGCAGAGCTACGCGGACCACAAGCAGAGCACGGACCACAAGCAGAGCTGCGCCGGCCACCAGAAGAGCCACGCGGACCGCAAGCCGGGCCACGCAGACCACGAGCAGAGCTGCGACGGCCACCAGCAGAGCTCACCGGACAAACCAGCAGAGCTACAGCGGCCACCGGCAGCGTTACGCGGACCACACGCAGAGCTACGACGGCCAGCAGAGCTACGCGGACCACGAGCAGAGCAGCGCGGACCACAGGCAGAGCGGCGCCCGCCACCGGCAGAGCTACGACGGCCGCAAGCACAGCTACGACGGCCACCAGGGGGAGCTCGCGCGAGGGGGGGCCGCACAAACAGCCCCAAGCGGCACGAGCAGATCGACGCGCCCGAGAGCTAGAACTCGCAGGGCTGCGAGGGCGCGAGGCAGAACTTCGCAGTGGGCTACCAGCTGGGCCTGAAAACACTCGCTTCAGAGCTTTCCAGGCCATCGATACGGAAAGAGACAGGCACGCCGGTGCAGGCCAGGCCGTGAACGCCTATGAGTTGTACTCCCGCACATACGAAGAAAGTCTCCGTATGCTCCAATGCCTTCCAGATCCGAGCATAAATCACCCCACGAAGACGTATCTGGAGATTTTCGTGACAAAGACCAAGACGCCGAAACTAACTACTTCCTGTAATCCTTCACCCTTGTCTACAAAATGTACGTTGCCGGCATCGTAGGCACTGCAAACCTCAAGGTTCTCTGAGGCTACCTTTCACGGGGGGTTGGAATGACCTACGACGTCAACGGTTGCACGCCTCCCCCTCGAGGTCCCGGCGACGCTCCTCTCCCCCTCTCGACGCCCTCCGACGCTATGACGACGTGCGGCAGCCCTCCCCTCCCTCGTCGCCGATGGCTCACCTACCCCAATGGGGTACGGCGGAGGAGGTCGTGGTCTGCATGACTGCATGAGCCGTTGCCACGTACCCTAGCTGTCCTTGGCGCCGGGTACGGCCCGCCCCGCCGGCGGGGCGCGCTACGCGCGCGTGCGGGGCTGGAGAGGACGCGTCTGTGTGCGCTTGCGGCGGCGGCAGGAGGAGGAGGGAGAAGGATACGAGGAGGGAAGGAGAGGGGAGAAGGAGAGAGGAGAAGGTAGATGGGCATGGGGGCCTTCGCCCCTCTAAGGATCTCATAGATCTGAGCTTGCCCTTTGTCACTCAGATCTGAGCTTGCCCTTTGTCATTCAGTGAACGTAAATTCCACGAACGAGCCGCCCCGTAGAAAGCAGCTGTGCAGGAGCCTGGCCAGCCTGAATTCACGAGAAGGGCAGAGGGTGAAGAGAGAGGAGGAGAAGGATGAAGGGGACGAAACAGAAGAGGAGAGGAGGGAGGAGCGGGAGCAAGAATCTGCACTTCACTTCACGGATGCCAGAGAGCACACCTCACGGTGTGGATTCGCTTGGCTGCGTTATGGGTACACTTCACGGTAGCAGAGTGCACAACCTTCCCAGGCTGAGGCCAGATCCCGCCCTGGAGCGAGGCATGGAAAAACACTGCCCAACTGAAATGCAACGCTGCGTGATCATGCACACATGTGAAACAATTCGAGTGGCACACGGTGGGATCGAGCGAGGTGGAATAAGCCGAGTAGCAGAAGGCGGAATGAATGTTGAGGTTGCCAAACGCACAGACGCAGGCCATCGGGAACAAGGCAGAGCAGGCACCGACATGGCGGGACTGCCTGATGCAGGCTCACAATGGGAAGCAAGTCGCTGCAATCCAAACTTTGCGGCGAGCGTTGCTGTATCGGGTGACTGTTGGCAACCCACGTGCCTGCCACATTCAGAATGCACTCGGGCATGATGCATAAGAGAGCGCGCTGGCGCGCTGCCCGGATCTGCCGGGTCACGCTTGGGAGGAGATGTAGATGTGCGCTGCCCGGATATGCCGGGTCACGCCGGGGAAGAAACAAAAGAGAATGCGCGCAACCCAGATATTCGGAGGAGGGCAACGTGAGACAACGGCCGTGAGACAACGGTGGCCAAATCGGCTCAAAATCGGACCCCGGACCCCTCCCGGGGTCCAAACGCACCGATGTTTCACGCTGCGTCCAGCCGTGGCGACGAGGAGGCCCCTCGGAGGCGAAAAAGGCAAAAACGTCACCCTTGTCTCACCCTGCCCTCCTCTGAGATATGTCGGGAACCGCTTGGCAGGACATGGCCATGAACGCTGCCTCGATCTGCTGGGCCACGCGCGGGAGGAAATGTGGAAGCGCGCTGCCTGGATGCTCGCCGTCTCTGCCTCTTGTGAGCCCCACGATGCTTGAAGATGGCCCGGCGGTGACCCAAGAGGACGAGGGGGCCCGGGGACACACCAATAAAATACACACGAGTAAAATATTCCCGATATTTTCCCATATGTTCTGGGTCTCTGTCTTCCCCCCCCCGCTTCCCATATTTTCCCATATCTTCTGGGGAATCGCCGATTCACTGTGTCTGTGTGCTTCTTTCCCTCTTGAGAGGAGCCAGCGAGGGTGACGCTCAGCTATCTTATCAGGGACCCCCCTTTGTTTTGCCGTTTGGTCTAGGAGGGGCCGCGCAGCTCCCCCAAAACCAGGCGAATCAACACCCCACGAGGGCTCCGAGATGGGCCAGCGCTAATCCAAGAGGCTCCCAGAGAGCCCTTTGCTGGCTATCTCCCAAAAACCAGGCAGATCAACACCCCACGAGGGCTCCGAGAGGGGCCGCTGCTACTCAAAGAAAGGCTCCCAGAGCGCCCTCTGTTGGCTATTTATACGGGGCTCAAATGTATACACCACCACCACCACCTTCCTCATCCCCTCCCACTCCTAGGAAATAGGAGAGGAAGACGAGGGCGGAAAAGAGGACGAATCGACATGGTGGTGGTGTATATCATTGGGGCCCGCAATTTACGGAGCTGCTTGAGCATATCCCTCCATTGGTTTGGCAAATCCAGATTTTTGTTGCGCAATGCTTCGCCACACCTCTTCGCACGAGAACCGTCCAGGTAGGGACATACGAAGCGTATGTCAGTGTAGCCGGCTCGACACATGTGGTAGATCGTTCCACACCCAGCCGCAACGTGCAATAATGGCTGCGTGCCAAGGTTCGGCACAACAAGCTGAAGGGCCCGCATCAAGCATGCATTGGCACGCATTGGGTCGGCCGACATGGCCTCTGTTGCAGGGGGCCTCCAGCGCCCTCCCTGGCGCGCGGAGCGCTCCAGGGAAAAAAGGTGCCCAGCGCGGATCCGAGGAATCCGCACGGAGCGACAAACAAAGTCTGTGCTCACCAGCGTTCTTTCTTTCTTTCTTTCTTTCTTTCTTTCTCTCTCTCTCTCTCTCTCCTCTTCTTCGGGCCTCCTCGCAGGGCACCGAGCTTCGGCTTCGAGTCAACGCTACACCTGGAGCGAAGCATTGTCGTCGCCGCCCTGACCCGCCTCCTGCTGAGGGCCCGCGGGGGGGCCCGCCCCCTGCGGCGCGTCGTCGGCTGGCTCGTCCTCGCCGCCCGCGGCGGTCCCGCCGCCCTGGCCCTGCGCACTGTGCTCGCCCTCCGCGCCGTGCTCCGCCTGCTCCTTGGGGCCCTCCTGCGCCTCGGCGCGGGAGACGCGGAGCACCAGCTCCGAGACCTGCGCCTCGAGGATCTGCTCGGAGGCGCCGACGGAGAACTGCACCGCGCCCTGCTGGAAGAACGAGCGGATCAGCGCCGCTGACTTCTGCCCCCCCTGGGACACCCTGCGGATCTTCTCGTTGTAGTACTCGTCGGAGGGGACCTGGAACCCCCAGGCTACGGAGACCGCGGCGGGAGGTGGCACGCCCTCATTCCCGGCCTTCTCGATCGACAGCATGATCTGCTCGATCGCCGTGATCTGCTCGGAGGCTGCCAACGTTCCTGAGGGGCAGCGCCTGGAACATATCCCTATCCCTATGCTGGGCACCACCTCATCACGATGGCAATCTTAGGGATTCCCTTACTTTTTGAGGGCGAATCCCTAAGATTGTTATCGCCTTTTGGCGTGTCAATCTTAGGGATAGGGATACGTTCGAGGCTGGTAAGGGGCAGCGACAGGGGAGGACCCGCTTCGGGGGAGGGGGGGCATCGACCTGGAAGCGGCGACGATGCATCGCCGACAGATCGGCGGCGGGGCCCCGATGGCGACTCCACACGCTCCCGGACGGGGCGGTGTAATGCGGGATGACGATTAGTAAAAAAAGGGAGAGAACGATTAAAAGCATAGTTCTCTGCTGTTTCTGCACCAATTTCTGACTGGAGGAGAACGATAAAAAAATAGTTTTCCAGCCCGCGGCCGGTTTTTTCTACTCGTCATCCCGGGCGCCGCCGCGTGAACACGACCCCCGGTCGTTTATTAATCGTCATCCTCCATTATCAGGCCCCTGTCGGCGATGAATGGGCGAATTGGGGGTCGATGTATTCCCCCCTGAGCCTACCCTTAGGTCGGGCATGTCCCCCTACAGGCGGATTCTGAACGAACAGTTAAACACACACACACACACCAAAAAAATCTACAAAATAGCACCAAGAAAACGAACAAGTCGTCCCGACTATTTTGAAACCTATTTTTGAACTTGCCTCCAGTAGACGGACAAGCCCCACTTGAGCCTAACCCCCCCCCCCTGGAACGTTGCACCGGTGGTCGTCTGGTTTTGCGGATCGTAACTGGCACCTCCGGCGGCCGCTCGGGACGATCCATACACCCCTGGAGAACAGGGGCCACATGCGAACCCTACACCTACCCCCCACGATTTCTCAGGGGGAGGGGTAGGGTAGGGGTAGGGGTAGGGTCAAGCTAGCCAGCTCGAGCGAGTCAAGCATGGCATGCCCATTCCCACCCGCCCTCCCACAACATAAGAAACAGTGATGGCACAACTGGGGGCTGCGCGGGCATTTCAGTGCGAGTGGAGGATACCCCAGGACACCGCATTGACGTCCGCGCGGGATGCGCGCCGCGTCCCATTCCCGCCACGCATTTCGCATCGTCGACGACAAGACTGGCCATGTTGAAAGGAACAACGGACACGTTCCGCCCTCCCACAACATGAGAAACAATGCTGGCGCAACTGGGTGCTGGCGCGTAGTAGTAGTAGTAGTAGTAGTAGTAGTAGTAGTAGTAGTAGTAGTAGTAGTAGTAGTAGTAGTAGTAGTAGTAGTAGTAGTAGTAGTAGTAGTAGTAGTAGTAGTAGTAGTAGTAGTAGTAGTAGTAGTAGTCGTAGTCGTCGTCGTCGTCGTCGTCGTCGTCGTCGTCGACGTCGTCGTCGTCGTCCGTCGTCGTCGTCGGGCACGTCGTCGTCGTCGTCGGTCTGTCGTCGTCGTCGTCGACGACGACGTCGTCGTCGTCGTCGTCGTCCCGTCGTCGTCTCGTCGTCGTCGTCGTCGTCGTCGTCGTCGTCGTCGTCGTCGGGTCGTCGTCGTCGTCGTCGTCGTCGTTCGGTCGTAGTAGTAGTAGTAGGTAGTTAGTAGTAATTAGTAGTAGTAGTAGTATTAGTATTTGTAGTAGTAGTCGTACTCGTAGTAGTAGTAGTAGTCGTCGTAGTAGTCGTAGTATTCGTAGTAGTAGTAGCAGTAGTAGTAGTAGTAGTAGTGGCAGCAGTAATAGTAGTCGTAGCGGTAGGAGTAGTAGTAGTCGTAGTAGTAGTCGTAGTATAGTAGTAGCAGCAGTAGTAGTAGTAGTAGTAGTAGTAGTAGTAGTAGTAGTAATACTCTGAATAGAAGTACTAGTACTAGTACTAGTAGTAGTATATTCTAGTAGTAGTAGTAGTTGTAGTTAGTAGTAGTTAGTTAGTGTAGTAGTAGTAGTAGTAGTAGTAAGTAGTGTAAGTAGTCGTAGTCGTAGTCGTAGTCGTAGTCGTAGAGTCGTAGTCGTAGTCGTAGTAGTAGTAGTAGTAGTAGTAGTAGTAGTAGTAGTAGTAGTGTAAGTAGTAGTAGTAGTAGTAGTAGTAGTAGGAGTAGTAGTAGTAGTAGTAGTAGTAGTAGTAGTAGTAGTAGTAGTAGTAGTAGTAGCCCTGAGTCGCCGAAAGATCGCTCCAAGACGCCCAAGATGGCCTCCAGACGGCCGTAGCGCCAAGAAACCGCGGGGAGCCTCAGGAGGTCCTGCCCAAGCGAGAAGGTCACTTCATTCACTTCGAGCGGGGGGGGAGGGGGTTTGCCGCGCCCAATTCTTGCCATGCACTTTTGCGGGGTGGACGACAAGAACAGCTCTGTGGGCAGGGAAAATCAGCATGGCATTGTTTCTGACAAGTAAGGTGGCCCTCCCCCCTTGGGGTTGCCCTAGAAGTCCGCGCGCGATGTGCGCCGCGCCCCATTCCTGCCACGCATTTCGCATCGTCGACGACAAGACAGGCCATGATGAAAGGAAAAACTGTAACTCTGTTTTGTTTTTACAATCAGGATGGGAGGGCCCGCAGCCCGCATGGACGTCCGCGCGCGATGCGCGCCGCGTCCCATTCCTGCCACATATTTCGCACCGTCGGCGACAAGGCAGGCCATGCTGACAGGAGAAAGCGGAGACTTCGCATGGATTTTTACAGTCAGGATGGGCGGGCCCGGATTGACGGCCGCGCGCGATGTGCGCCGAGTCCCACCTGTGCGCCGCGTCCCATTTCTGCCACATATCTCGCACCGTCGGCGACAAGGCAGGCCATGCTGAGAGGAAAAAACGAAGACTTTGTATTGAATTTTTGCAGTCAGGATGGGCGGGCCCAGATTGACTGCCGCGCGCGATGTGCGCCGCGTCCCATTCCTGCCACGCTTTTCGCATCGCCGACGACAAGAAAGATGATGTTGAGAAGAAAAACAACCACTTTGCATGGATTTTTTGCAATAGGAGGTCCCGGATTGGGTCGCTATCGGCCGGAATACGAGGTAGGTGGGGGTAAATTCTAATAAGGAACAAGGATTCGCATGTGGCCCCCTAGAGAACGCCCTCGGTGAGGCGCAGCTGCTGGAACGCATCTCGAGGCTGGAGAGCCGTGGAGAAAAGCAGAAAAAGCGCGCGACAACCACGGGATTCGAGCTTCGAGGGCGCCGAAGACTGCGAACCTGAGCACGTCGCCCCCTGGCGTTGCCCCTGGGCACGTGGGGAAACGTGCAAGAACCTTGAACCTCGAAGACCTTGAAGACCTCGAAGGCTTCGAGCCGTAGCCCCCCCCCTCAACATCGCCCCCGCACTCCTGGGGAGAGCAGGACCAGCAGCGCGCGCGCGGCTGCGACGGCATTGACAATCGCGCCCTCGTCCCTGGCGTACTCGTCGATGACCCGTACCCCCTCGGGGACGAGGCCCTTCAGCTGGGGCTGGATCTTCTGCAGCAGGATGATGGAGGAGCAAATCAAAGGCACAAGCATAAGCTTAGGTCGGTAACAAAATGGTCGAAAGATCTTCCCTGGACTATTTTCTGACTACTTCTGGATACTCCTCCTGTAGGGGGGGGCACGCCCGACTTAACCCTTTAGTGAAAGCTGCCAATTGGACTCCACGCGCGCACGGCACCGTATCCCGAATGGACCCCAGCGGGGTAGCTAATCGACGCCCAAGAGCAACCGAGTGTGGCAAACGAAACACACGCCGATTCGCTAAACTGACTGGGGACTCCACCAGTGCGCTCGAATGACAATGTGGAGTGATCCAGTGCAGAATTCATCAATCGACTTGTCTGGGTAGGCGTTCTCCCAACGGGCCATCGCTCGGACGTCCAGTGCCCGTGCCATTGTCGATTTCGTGCGTGCATTTCTCGCAAGATGACTCGGAATGCTCCTCGATGGTCGTCGCCGAAAAACAATGCAGACGTCCGGGCGATGCCAAGCGACAGCTCATGCTTGCGCCGGTTTCTGCTCCTCCAGATGAGGGCGGCGGCCAGGGCCTCGTCGTTGCCGGGCTCGGAGGAGATCAAGACCGCCCTGGGCTCCCTGGGGAGGGCCTCGGCGCTGGCCTTGGCCTCTGTCTCATTCGACGCGGCACTCACCTCCTGGCAGTCGCTGAGGAAGTTGGTAACCTCCTCGAAGCGGGCCATGCCCTTCACGCCACTGCGCATGTGGACTTTTTGAACGTCGTCGCTCATGAGGCTGCGGTACGCAGTGGCCACACTGTCGGTCGTGATGCCGAAGGCGTTCAGGGAGCAACTGCTCAAGTCCAGGTACTTGGCCATGTCCGCATAGTCAACATCGTTCGGCGGCACGAAGCTGTCCGTGACCACCGCAGTGACCCGCCTGCGCCACATGAGTGCAGTGACGATCTCGCCAGCGCACCACGGCCTGCTCAGAGTGTCCCTCGTCAAGTAGACCACCAAATGGTGAACCTGCGTCTTGACTGTGTCGAACAACGAATCCAATTGCATGAGGTCATCCGTGTCGGTGAGGACCGGCTGGCCTGTCTTGGACGTCAGTATCATCTTCAGCAGCCGCGCCTGCGCCTTGCTGGGGCCCGCTCGTTTCCCCTTCGCCCCCTCCTGCTGAAGCCGCTTCCTGTCGAACGCTTCTGCTCCGCAGCGACGGTCGGCTCCCCTCAATGCCGATTCTGACGATCGAGCAACACGCACCCATACCCATAGGGGGGACGGAGGAGGCTATGGGTGCGTGTGGTCGGATGGGGGTCCCCGCTCGAACGGGAGCTTCCCCCAGGGTCCGACAGCTCGCACCCATACCCATAGCCAGTTCCCCTCCTTTCGACCCTCCTATGGGTATGGGTGTGAGTTGTTCGCTCGTCAGATTCTCCTCGAACGTTCCCCCTCCTACACCGCCTACACGCCCATTCCTATATGAAAAATGGGACGGGATGCATGTCCACGCGGAGTAATTTCTACTCCGCCCACTCCGTTTACTCCGCCAGTCTTGAGTCATGGTGAATGAAGACCGCATAATACTTTTGCCACGGCAATCTAGGGCCGGGTGGTGGGGGAATGGGAACCTGCTCGAACAGCGGGGGGACCACGCGCCGCACAGCACGCGCGGCACCACTGCGGCGCGAACGGCACGGGGCAGGCGGCACGCCACGCGCACCGCCCCGGTGCCACGGCGCGGGAAGGACGGCGCGCACGGACACGCCAGGCAAGACGAACATCACCAGCCTCGAAGTTATCCCTATCCCTAAGATCGACACGCCAGAAGGCGATGACAATCTTAGGGATTCGCCTCAAACAAATAAGGGAATCCCTAAGATCGGCATCGTGATGAGGAGATGCCCAGCATAGGGATAGGGATGTGTTCCAGGCTGGCAAGAACAGTGAGCCACCTCAGGGGAGGCCACGACCTTGCCTAACCGCATGTAGCGCATCGGGGTCGACCTCCCGTCACGTGGCGGGGCCGCGGGAGAGTCGGGATCGAGCACGGCGGCCACACGGCCGCGTGCGGGTACGACCCGCGCGAGGCGCGCGCCGCGTCGAGCGGGGTGGCGCCCGTGCGAGCTGCGCGCGCCGGGGGCCGCAGGCGGAGCCCCGGGGCACGACGCCGGTGAGAAGGGCGCCGAACTTGGAGGGTGGACCGCAGGCGGACTCCCCCACTGGAGCTCCAGGGTCGGGAGACTCTCCATGGGATCCCCAGGGGATCCTATGGGATCCCCCCCCTGGGATCCGATCCCCCCATGGGATCCCCCCCCATGAAGAGCCTCCCGACAGGGGGCACAGGGGACCACGACAAGCTGCGCGCTTACACCACCCGAGGGCAATAGCCGGGTAGACGCAAAACGGCGCGCCCCGCCGGGATCACCCGGGGGCACCGGAGGTCCCCCCTTTCTGCCCCCCTCGATATACCCCTTGTGCCCTCGCCTGCTCGCCCTCTGCAGTCTCGCCTCTCCCGCTCCCTTGTCTGAAGGGCCCCAGGACACACACACACAAATTAACACACACAAGTAGCAATCTTCCCCCCATTTTCCCACATCTTCTGGGTTTCTGTCTTCCCCCCCACTCCCAAATCCCCTGTTTTCCCATCTTTTTCCTGGGGAATCGAGGATTCATTGTGTCTGTGTGTTTTTGTTCCCTCCGGATCGTGGTGTGTCCCGCCCGGCCGGCCCGCCCCTCGTTCTCTGCTTCCCCCTGCGGCCGCCGTGCCGGCCCCTACATGATGAGAGGCCCGAGGGGCCTCGGGGGAGGCCCCCCGCGGGAGGCCCCCCGCGGGAGGCCCCTCGCGGGCGGCCCCGGCGGCCCCCTCCGCGAGGCCCACGGGAGGCCTCCGCGTGGGAGACCCATACGCGGCGTGCAGAGGCCCCCCCCTCGGGAGGCTCCGAGGGCCTGCCTGGCCCTTCCGAAGAGAGAGAACGTGCGGCGCCGAATGGAATGGCATCCTCCTCCTCCTCCTCCTCCTCCTCCTCCTCCTCCTCCTCCTCCTCCTCCTCCTCCTCCTCCTTCGGCGAGTGTCCGCGCAAGCGCCGGATGGGCCCTGATCTGCGTGAGCAAGCCGTGTAGAGAGCATGGCAGATAGCAGGTCGCGTCGCCGGATGGACTCTCTCCTTTCGCCGGAGGGGCTCCCTTTGCCGGAAGGGCTCTGCTTTCTCGCCGGATGGATGTCTTGAAAAGAGAAACCATTCGGCGCGCCGGATGGGCTCTGGTGTCAGCCGGGTTGGGCTCTCTTCCAGCCGGATGGGCTCTATCCCGCCGGATGGGCTCTAATTCCGCCGGATGAGCTCTGTGAAAAGGCCTCGCCGAATGGACTCTTTGAAATCCGACGTGAGTTTTTGAAAACAAACCATCAATTCTCATTTTTGGAATGCCCTCGCTCAAACAAATCGCATCCTTATGCTGGCGCCTCTCGGGCGCACCTAGCGCTCGGCGTTCCCGCGCATTCCTTCAAATCTCCCAGTGCGCACGGACTGTCACGTGTGTTTCCTCGCTGTTGTTTTGTCATGCCATTGGTATGCAATGTAGTCATGTGGGTGCTCGGTGGGGGGGTCCCAAACAAACGTGGAAAGAATTCGCGCATCGCGCATTGCCTTAAGGATCCGCGAAGGATCCCCAAGGATCCCTAGGGCTTCCCTGGGGGTAACCCCCATCCCTCGCGCCAAGGATTCCTAAGGTTTCCCTGGGGGTCTTTTCAAGGTTCCCCAATGACCCCGAAGGTTTCCTCAGGAATCCGCCCAGGATCCGCGAGGATTCCTAGGGTTTCCCTGTAAGAATCCGCGAAGGATCCCCAAGGGTCCTTAGGGTTTCTCGAGGGTGCCGCTCAGAATCCCGAAAAATCCTGGGGGGGATCCGCTAAGAGGTCCCAGGCTTCCTCAAGGATCCGCTGAGGATCCCCAAGGATACCTAGGGTTTCCCTGGGGACCGCTAAGGATCCCTAGATTTTTACGGTGTTCTTGGGGGCGCGCTAAAGATCCCAAAGGATCCTAAGGCTTTCCTTCGGGAACAGCAAAACATCCCAACGGATCCCAAAAATTCCCTCAGTGTTTCGCTAAGGATCCCGAAAGATCCGTGGGCCCCCCTTGGATCCGCTAGGGATCCTCAATGATCCCAAGGATTTTCCTAGGGAGAGGGATCCGGAGGATCCGCTGAGGCGGTGGCGTGGCGGGGCGGTGGGACTGCGGGGTTGCGGAGCAGCGGGGTCTCGGGGCAGTGGCGTGAGGTCGCGGGTTCGTGGGGCGGCGGGGTGACATGGCGGTGATGTGGTGGGCGGTGGGGTCGCGGGGTCGTGAGGACCTGTGGTCGCGGGATAGGGTCGCGGGGTGGCGGGGTCAGAAGGTCGCGGGTGGCATGGGGTCTCGGGGGCATGGGGCGCGGGGTCGAGGGGTCGAGGGGATGTGCAAGCAGCGCGCACAACGGGGCTATCCGCCGAATGGACTCGGATGCCATGATGGTCATTTTGCCAGGCGGGTGGACTCTAATGCCGCCGGATGGACTCTAACTTGGCGCCGGATGGACTCTAACTCCGCTGGATGGACTCTATCGGTTCGCCGGATGGCCTCTGTTTTACGCCGGATGGACTCCTTTGTCGCCAGATGGGATCTAATCTCGAGAATCCTTTCGGCGCCGGATGGTCTCCATCTTTTTTACCTAACAGCGAAGACTGATAGGTTTCGAGTGGTCTCAAAGTAGAGCATCCTGATTCCCCAGGGGGGTCTGGGCAGATGCCAGACAGATGCCGGGCGGGTGCCGCGGGAATCCGGGGACTCCTTTTCTAGCCAACAGTAACGCACTTCGTGGTCTTCGAGTTCCCAGAAATCCGTTCCTGGGCATGCTTGTGAATGCCCGGAGCCAACTGTAGGCCACTTCGTGTTCTTCGAGGTCCCAGAAGTCCATTCCTGGGCATGATTTTGAATGCCCGGAGCCAACTGTAGGCCACTTCGAGGTCTTCGAGTTCCCAGAACTCCATTCCTGGGCATGATTTTGAATGCCCGGAGCCAACTGTAGGCCACTTCGTGGTCTTCGAGTTCCCAGAACTCCATTCCTGGGCATGATTTTGAATGCCCGGAGCCAGCTGTAGGCCACTTCGTGTTCTTCGAGTTCCCAGAACTCCCTTCCCGGGCCACATTTTGAATGCTGAGGCAGGCTGATGCTGAGGCTGAGGCAGGCTGAGGCTGAGGCAGGCTGACGCTGCGGCCGAGGCTGAAGGCAGGCTGAGGCTGGGTCTGAAGCAGGCTGAGGCTGAGGCTGAGGCAGGCTGAGGCAGGCTGAGGCTGAGGCTGAGGCTGAGGCTGAGGCTGAGGCTGAGGCTGATGCAGGCTGAGGCTGAGGCAGGCTGAGGCTGAGGCCGAGGCTGAAGGCAGACTGAGGCTGAAGCTGAAGCAGGCTGAGGCGAGGGCTGAGGCAGGCTGAGGCTGAGGCTGAGGCAGGCTGAGGCTGAGGCTGAGGCAAAGGCTGAGGCAGGCAGGCTGAGGCTGAGGCTGAGGCTGAGGCCGAGGCTGAAGGCAGACTGAGGCTGAAGCAGGCTGAGGCTGAGGCTGAGGCTGAGGCTGAGAGCAGGCTGATGCTGAGGCAGGCTGAGGCTGAGGCTGAGGCTGATGCAGGCTGAGGCTGAGGCAGGCTGAGGCTGAGGCCGAGGCTGAAGGCAGACTGAGGCTGAGGCTGAAGCAGGCTGAGGCTGAGGCTGAGGCAGGCTGAGGCTGAGGCTGAGGCAGGCTGATGCTGAGGCAGGCTGAGGCTGAGGCTGAGGCTGATGCAGGCTGAGGCTGAGGCAGGCTGAGGCTGAGGCCGAGGCTGAAGGCAGACTGAGGCTGAGGCTGAAGCAGGCTGAGGCTGAGGCTGAGGCAGGCTGAGGCTGAGGCTGAGGCAGGCTGAGGCTGAGGCAGGCTGAGGCTGAGGCTGAGGCTGATGCAGGCTGAGGCTGAGGCAGGCTGAGGCTGAGGCCGAGGCTGAAGGCAGACTGAGGCTGAGGCTGAAGCAGGCTGAGGCTGAGGCTGAGGCAGGCTGAGGCTGAGGCTGGCAGGCTGATGCTGAGGCAGGCTGAGGCTGAGGCTGAGGCTGATGCAGGCTGAGGCTGAGGCAGG